TGCTTCTATATATCTATTAGTGTGTCAGTTTCCTAACCTTAGCTTTAGTCATTTTCACCTAACCTGAAAAACAAACTCCAAACTTCATTCCTCATCTATGCTTTCTTCATCATAATCCTCCTCATTAGCACTACTAGCTTGTTGATATGGACCGATTTTCATTTCGTTCAACCCCAAGAACGGCCAACCTCGGCTTTCCTCAGAGTCCTCGTTCTCGTCTAATCCCACGTTCAGATCGAAACTCCTTACTTTCAACCCTGAGTCACTAGTACTACTATGATTGTTGTGTTCTTGGAAACATTCAGGTTTCTCATCATGAGAAAGGTTCGCGTTTTCAAAAGACGGGCTCCTGCTGCTTTCGGGAGAAACATCTTCTACATCATCTTCAAACTTGAGAGACTGGACACTTACCGTTCTTCCACCACCCCGTCCGCGACCTCTACCTCGCCTTCCTCTGCTAACACCAGTATGTTTGACCTCATGCTGTAACAAGGCGAAGAAGAAGAAAAACGCTTAAAACAATGACAAAAAGCATTAAAGCCAAGTACAACAGTTCATTGGCAAATATGAATAGCTAGTTACCATTTGAGTAGTCTTCATCATATCTTCATAGTTGCAACTGCTTTCATCGACAACTTTCCTGAAAAGTCCGGAAAAAAAAAAACAAGTTGTTGTTAGTCATGAAACCGAAACCAAAACATAGAATAGGAGAAGCGGATTGATTGATCTTGCGGCTAACCTTCTTTTGGTAGCAGATCGGTCTTCAGCTTCTGAACCACCCAAATCAGGAACTTTATCAACAGTCTCTTTTAGAAAATTAAAGACATTAAACGCGTGCACACACTGCTTCCTGAAATCAAGAACAAAAAAAAAGCTTTGAAGAAGGAAGAAAACGAATAGGTTATACAAACAAAGACAACGATGATGGGATTGACACTTACAAATGAACAGAGTTAACTGTTTTTGCGCCTCGGCTTAGAGTTACATCATGTGTGCGATTACATAAGTCTTGCAAAAATAGCTCCAAAGCTTTAGCTGCAAATTCACATTAATCCAATTATCATAAACTAAATGTAACACAAACTGTATGAAAACACAAGATTAAACAAACATCACTTACAAACAAGAAGAGGGACCGCCATTGCAATTTTCCCAACTTCCTCATCAGTTTGCATAATCTTCTTAATCCTAGTCTGAACAAAATTTTAGGTTAGAAAGATCCTCAAGAAACCAAATGAAGCAACCAAACACAAGAAACATCTCACGCACTTGAGAAATCTACAAAAATCTTACTCCTTGAATCCAAGAAACTAACAAATTTAGTCCTAAATAAGAAAATCTCTGCACTTTCTTGACCCCTGAACAAAATTTACTCCTCCAAACCCAAGACACATTCACACATAAGAGTTTAACCCTAAAGAAGAAAAGGATCATCATGGAAGAACCCAAAAGACGAGAACTTGTAATCATAATCACAGAGTCTAAGCCACAAACGCTACAGAGAAAGCGAAACGAAAAGAAGAAACCAAACAAACAAAAGCAGAGGAAGAAGTAGTTTGGTCATACCGCAGGAAAACGAGTGCTAAGCTTCTTCTTCATGTTTGTTTGTTTTTTTTTGTCAACGCGAAAAGTAAAGAAAGGCTAAAGCAGCTCCAAGAGACAGGGGAAAAAGGAGGAGAAGATAAACCCTAATTTTAAAATTTTGTTTTTTCTTCCCTTTCTTACGGATATAGAAGAAGAAGATATATAATCAAATTTAAGAAAAATATTTATATATATGTTGGTTGATGGAATCAACGACGACAAGAAAAGGAAAAGAATTTAATTTCTTGGATCTTTTTTTTCCAGTTAGATTTCGGTCTCTGTTTTTGACCCGTTCTGGTCGGACCCAAATCAGCCACGGTGGACTTTTTCCTGAA